TTGATTTTAGTTTAGTGCATCATGAGAGATATGGGCCGAGATTCAATCTTCAGCATGTGTGCAACTAGTTTCCCAGCACCACTGTAAGGAAGCTATCTTTCCTCCATCCTGTATTTTTGGCCCCCTTGTAAAAGATCAAATGGTCGAATGTGTCTGGAGTTGTTTCCGTATCTTCCATTGTTTCCCTGTACTTGTTATTATTACATTCATATTTTTTCCTTTTTAAAAAGAAATTAAATGAAAGCACTCTTGTGGGTCTTTTGTTCCCAATGGGTAAATCATCCTGGGGAGTCTGGCAGCAGCGAGGCATGCAGGGGGGGCTCCCCTAGGAAACGCACAAGACAAGCAGATACCTAGGCCAGCGCCTAAGAGTCAGGTTCCCTAGGTTTGAGATGTGGCTCAGGAATCTGCATCACAATAAGCAGTGCTGGTGCTGCCATGCAGATGGCACCTTTGGGAACAGGAGACATTGCCAGTCTTTTTAATGTTACTTTTCGTTAGCATATTTTAATTTTATCCATTAATGGGGTTGTATAATGCACTGAGCAAATCTAACCTCTCTTTTTGCACTCCCCCAGCCTTCCCAATGCTCAGTAATTACCATTTTAGCTTCAGGCTGGACTTTTTTCAGCTTCCACATAGGAGTGGGGATATAGTATTTGTCTTTCTCTGGGTGGTTTATTTCGCTTAACGCAATGACCTTCATTTCTGTCCACTTTGCTGCAAATGACAAGACTTCATTCTTCTTTATGGCTGCCTAATACTCCATCATGCTTTAGACCATGTTTCTGTTTCATCTATTCATCTGTTGATGGACACCTAGGTGGGGTCTGTATTTTGGCTGTTGTCAATAGTGCAGCAATACACATGAGTGTGCAGGTATCTCTTTGGTGTGCTGATTTCATTTCCTTTGGATAAACACCCAGGCGTGTGATAGCTAGTTCCCAGGGTGGTTTTACTTTTAAGTTTCTGAGGAACTGCCACATTCTTCTCCATAGTGGTTGCACTAATCTATACCTGACTCACTGCGTATAAGAGTTCCTTTTCATCCACAGTCTTGCCAACATTTAGAAATTTTTATTTGATAGTTGCCATTCTAATTGCATGGGATTGTAAGTCCATGGGATTCAGTGGGATCTCACTGAAGTTTGAATTTGTGTTTCCCTGACGGCTAATGATATTGAGCATTTTTTATGTATTTGTTGGCCATTTGTATTTCTTCCTTTGAGAAGTGTTTCATCAGATCAGTTGCCCATTTTTAAATTGTATCATTTGTTTCTTTAAGCCTTTCCTTGTGGATACTAACCCTTTGTCAGATGAATAGTTGAGAAATATTTTCTCTTGTTCTGTAGGCTGCCTCTTCACTCGACAGTCTCCTTTGCTCTACAGAAGCCTTTTAATTTAATATAAGCCTATTTATCAAGTTGTGCTTTGGACCCTGTGTGCTTTTCCCACCACAGTTTTTAAAGTTCAGACCAAGCCCCGTACGTGCTGGGTGGCATACACAAATCTTCCCACTGTTCCAAGTCTATTTCATCATCCCCAAAGTGTGGAGGATGACACCCACCCTGTGGTACCACTGGGAGGCTTTTGAGCGCCTGCATCTCACACTTGGAGAAGCAGCTGAAGCCTTGGCTCTGAGGCAAAGAGGGGGAATTATGCAAATGCTATTTGGGAACATTGCAAGGGCCCAGTCAGCAGCCAGGACAGGCTGCACCCCACAGAGCAAAGCACTGCTAGGAAAGGAGCATTTGCATTTCTGTGCAAGGTTCTGGGAATCAGAATGGGTGAAGGTGCAGGCAGAGGGACTCAGAGTGGGTGTGGTGGTGCCACCTGTGATCCCAGCACTCTGGGAGGCTGAGGCAGGAAGACTGTAAGTTTGAGATCATTCTGGGCAACTTAGCAGCTTAGTGAGACCCTGTCTGAAAATAGAAAAAATAGGATGCTTGTGCTGTGTGAGACAGCATATGGAGGGCTGGTGATGTCGGTGGTAAAAAGAACTTACCAACAGACCAGGAGTATGGAAAAGATGGGTTCAATTAGATCAGGGGACACTGTCAAGAGAGACAGTGGGTGAGTTTCCAAGAGAGGAACCGCACCATCAGGGCTTTTATGAGTTGGGGGATGCGGAAAGAGTAGCAAATGTGATTATCTAAAGAATGTCTTTTCCTGGATCTTCTAGCACCCTGTAGACTTCCAGGAGCACTTGCATTGTGGCTAATAATGTAGGTTTACAGTAGCAATTTTGACAATGCCATTTTCCTCTGGCTTACAGAAGCCCCTAGCTTTAGATTAAGGAGGTGGTAAGGAGGTCTGTATGTATCTTACAGAAGACAGATCGGGACTTCTTGGGAAGAATGAATGGAACTTACATCAATATTTTTGTTGCTGTCTTATGACCACAACCTATACCAGGAGCGGGGTTGTCTTTAACTGGAGTTCTGCTGTTAAGGATTTTAACCTTTTTGTTGCCAATGGGGGCCACTACAGTTTGTTTATCATAAAAGGGCTGAAACAAGCAAGCAGGACATCAGCTCATTGGATTCCAGCTAGAGGAGAATCGAACATCGGGTAGCTAGAATTTCTCACTGCTCTGTGCATGTCTGCAAATGGCCATGAACCCATCACTGATTTTTTTAAGGTAGGAAGGTTTTTTTTTGTGAATAGATGAATTCACGAATATGGAATGTGTGATGAATGGGGATGGGCTCTCAGGTCTTTATTAAGTTTGTTCCGATGGAGTGTGCTATCTGCTTCCTGTTGCAATTCTAATCAGTATGGGAAGATGTGCTGGGAGGAAGGATGCTCGTGTGGAAGTGTGAGCCCCACAGAGCCCTTGTACCCCACAGGTTGTGAGATCCCTCTTTGAAATAAGGAAGTTGACCAAGATACGCAGCAGTTCTGAGACACATACAGCTGCTTTGTGCCCCAGCTTGGTAAACCTGGGCAGGAGGCTTTTTGACAAGCATTTCCCTATCGAATGGGCACAACTGACCTCATCTCCATTTGGTTGTCGTGGAGACTTATGATGATCTTGGTCCCTGCTTACAGTGTGGAGCGAGAGAGAGGGCATGAGATCTGACCCAGGCTTCATTTCTGCTTTGCTCCTTGCTGGCATCTTAACCTGGGCCAAGCTGACTTTACTTTTCTGAACTTCATTCCCTTCTCTGTGAAATGTTGGTGCTTGTGCCTGTGGGATTGGCTGGCTTTGCCCACAAGACCAAGACTTGTGAGGCCGTTGTTGGCCTATGTAGAGTCAGTCCCATGAGAGGGGTGTGTGTCTCGCTTAGCTCCTGAGGTGTTCCCAGCACCCAACACAGCCTCTGGCACAGAGGAGTTGCTTAGGAAATGCAGTCATGTCGGGAGCGATGCTACATAATTTTAGGGAAAATCATTTGGTTAGCCTAGTTCTCCTGCCTACAGCCCAGCTATGGCATTCCGAGACATAATTCCATTTTGGCCTCCAGTCACAACTGAAACCTCAATGATCTGGTGATGCTGTGATTCTCCAGGACAAGATTACACTAGCGGGAGACATCCTGGGAGGAACAAACATCTACTCAGTTCTTCATTGTTCTTGGACTGTTACATCTTGTTTGCCGCGATGTACTGAACTCTGCAAGTCATTTGTTTCTCCCTTTTGTCTTTGCTGCCCAGAGCAGCACTGATCAGACCCAAAGCTCAGCTCCTTCTCAAAGTCTCATTTCTCTACCTTTTCTGTAATTCGCCTTGTGCTGCCATGGCTCGCAGGAGGCTAGGACTTACTGCAGAGGTTCTAGTAATGTCCCCTTTCCCTGTTCCCTACACAGTCATCCTTGGGTGTCTGTAGGCATCGGTTCCAGGAACCCCATGGACACCAAAACCCAAAGATGCTTGAGGATTGTACGTAAGATGGTGTGGATTTGCATAAAACCTGTGTAGAAACTCAGATGGATGTTAAATCATCTCTAGGTAATACCTAATACAATGTTGATCACTGTTATACTGAGTCAGCCGCAGTGGCTCATGTCTGTGATCCCAGCACTGAGGGAGGCTGAGGCAGGAAGATCGTGTTTGAATCCCACCAAGGCAACTTAGGGAGACTTTGTCTCAAAAAAGAAGGGGGCTGGGGATGTATCTCTGTGGTGGAGTGCCCCTGGCTTTGATTCTCAGGACTGGAAAAAAAAATTATACTGTGTTTAGGGAGTAAGAACAAGGAAAAAAAAATCTGTACATGTTGAGGATAGATGCATTTTTTTCTGAAAATGTCAGTTCGAGGTTGTTTGAATTCATGCATACAGAGTCCATGGGTATGCATGGCCAGCTGTTTTGTGGCTGCAAATAACATCGCTCTTCCTACGCTACCCTCTGAGATCTTCTTGGGGAGATCAGTAATCACAGCTTAACGTAAATGTTCTGTGGTGGTGTCCACAAGGTCTTGGGACAACATAGGAAGAACTGAGCTACCACTCCAGAGCCTCACCCCAAAGATCGTGTCGACAGCACTGAGTCAACGTGCGATGTCCTTGAGGTAGGGGCCACGTTCTCACCCACTGCTGCTGCAGCGACCTGGTTGGTTCACAGCCTTGAGCTTCGTGGGGTTAGGGTCACAGCAGGGCTCAGGGGAGTCTTCTCTAGGGTTCAGGCTCCCATATCAGCCATGAAAGTGTCACTTTTGTGTGACTTTGGGTAAGCCACTTAACCTCTCTGCACCTCCATTTCCTCAGCCTGAAAATGGAGCTGCTGATAACAACAGCTTAAGGTCACTTTCGATTTAGGATATGCAGCAACTGTGTTACCGGCTGCATGAACTCATCTATCCTGACCACAGCTGTGTGAGGTGGGTGCTGCGGCTGGCGCTTCTCATTTTACAGGTTCTCTGAGGTCAGGGAAGGGTAGTGACTTGCCCAAGGTCAACCAAGTACAAACTAGAGAGGCTGGATTTCCGGGGGATCGAACTCGGGTCCTTGCGCTTGCACAGCAGGCGGCGAAACCACTGAGCTAAATCCCCAGCTCGACAATTAGGATTTTTAATTATAATTCGGCTGGAGGGAAAGTGAGTCAGAGAGGAGTGGGGGGGCCACTGAGCAGGCAGCCCACGAGGACAAGCAGGCCAGGGGTTGGGGACGCACAAGCATCACTTAGGCACCCCGGTGGCCTTGCTGCGCGCTGGAGCCTGGGTGCGCGGGCCCCCGTCCTCTAGCAGGAGCTGAGCCCTGAGCTCCTGGTAGCACACGCGCGGGTGCCGCTGGCGTTGGCGCAGGCGTATCACGCTGTGGTCGACCTCCTGCGCGATCTTCTTGCAGTTGTGGCTCCAGGACAGTTTACCGCGCTCCGCGAGCAGCTCCTTCAGGTTCTTTTCCATGTGCAGGATATGGCGCTGCAACTGGTCGGTGCCCTGGAAAGGTGGTAGGGCCGTGCCAGGGGACCAGCCAGTCCCAAGCAGAGGGCGGGGTGCTGTTGTGATGGGCGGGCACACCTGGGCCAGGTGTGCGGCTGGCCCGAGCATGACAGAGGCGGGAGGGGCCTCGGATGAAGAGTCACCCTCGGGGCTGGTGTGGCCCGCCTGGGAAGGAGCAGCCCAAGAGCGGGGCACCTCACCCGGGGGTTGGAGGGAGAGGAAAGACAGCTGGGCCAGATTTGCCCGACAAAGAACACGCACAATGGGATCCACTGAGAGAGGGGATCCACCTGGAGTGTGAGGGTCGGGGTGGACCTCACCCGGGGAACATCTGGGCCAGGTGTGGAGGGAGGGCCCCCACGAAGGTGTGCGTGGGAGGTGGACAGGCGTTGAAGGGACGGTAAGCATTGCTGGGTCTCCCTGTGGGCTGACTTGGGTGAGGGGGTCTTACCTGGTCGCATATGCTGGAGCAAGCAGCCTCTCCAGGATGGGGCTGCACCTAGATGGGGCGGGAGGGGCCGCACCTGTGCTAGGCGCGAGGCCTCAGGGAGTTGGGTGCCGACGTGTCTCTGGTACACGCGAACCAGGGGTCTGTTCAGTTTCTCTCGAGTCTCCAGGTGGCTTTCGGACAGAGGACCCTGGCGGAGCGCAGTGTGCCAACCAGTGGGGCCCGGGCCACCCCAGCGGCCCTGCCCCATCCACGGTGTGTCCCCGCTGCCCTGACCTTGATGAGGCCGCAGGTGATGTACATCTCTTGGTTGAATTTCGCGCACCGGTGAATGGTTCCCCTCATCAGTCCTAAACTCAGGTTCATTCTTTCCTGGAGGTGTGGGGGCGCAGGGAAGCCGTGCTGGCTCCGGGTCCCCCATCTCCAGCCCGGGTCCCCGCCCCACGGCCACCCCGCGCGCACCTTCAGCTCCGAGGTCTCCCGTATCTTCTGCGCCAGCGTGGCGCACACGCGGTCGCTTATCTGCTGCTGTTGCTCCCTGACATCTGACTCATTTTTGGCCATTTCTGCCAAGGTTTCCTTGGACTCCATCAACAACCGCTTGGCTTCGTTCAGCGCCGCAGAGCACTCTGGGAACCCACAGGGCCCGGATGGCGTAGGGCGAGCCCAGACCCCTCCTTCCCGCGTCTCCCTCCCCTGTATTCTCAGGCAGTCTTGGGCCACGGGCGACTTTAAGGAGGGACTGGGAGAAAGTCAAGGCTATTAGGTCTTGGACTGGTTTCCTCAAAGGAAGCAGAAGCTGTGAATGAAGCCAGGCGTGGTGGTGCACACCTGCCATCCCAGCACTCTGAGAAGCTGAGGCAGGAGGATCGAAAGTTTGGGCTCAACCTGGGAAATTTAGTGCCTTAGGGAGATCTTGCCTCAAAATGTTAAAAAATGCGCGCGCGTGTGTGTGTGTGTGTGTGTGTGTGTGTGTGTGTTGGGGGGGTGCTGAAGATGTAGCTTAGTGCAAAGGCTCTGGGTTCAATCCCTAGTATCAAAACAAAACAAAACAACTCAAAAAACCAAACCAATAAAACCAAACCAAACCAAACCAAACCTGTGTGTGAGATGCGGGTTGCCCAGGAAGCGAGAGAGCATGGGGGTTAGACATGAGCTCGGGGCGTGGGAGAAGGGGTGCACTCACAGCCAATGACATCCACTATCACAGACTCCTCCCTGTGGGGCTACCTGGGGTGTAGGTGCCCAAGGGGTCAGGAGGAGGCGTCTTCTGGCCCCGAGGGCGCGGGGTGGGGACGCGGGAGAGGTCCACGCAGGAGTGGTGGCCCGCCTGCTCCAGAACCTTGTCCAGCGGCTGGTTCATGAGCTCCACGGCCTGCAGCCTTTCCTTACAGTAGAAGCCCAGCGTGTCGCGGCAGGAGGCCAGACTCTGGGGGCGGGGAGGCAAGAACGAATTGGGCGAATTGGGCGGCGGGCTGCGGGCGGGAAGATGATGTCTTTGCGGGGTCTGCGTGTTGTGAAGCTTAAAGGGATCTGCACAGGTTCTTTTCTTTTGCTAGTGCTGGGGATTGAGGCCAGGGTCTTACACACGTTAAGCAGTTGCTCTACCACTGAGCTACCCCCTCAGCCTTTCCTCCCATTCTCATTGTTGATACTTTAAAGGGATTGATATTTACGGAAATATTTTCTTATTTAATTCATTTGCCCAAATTTCCAGAGAAGTATTTTTCTTTCATGATATCCCTCTTCTTCTTTTTCCTCCCCCTCCTCTTCATTATTACTATTTTTATTATTTTTATTTTTGATACAGGGTCTTGCTATGTAGTCCAGGCTGCCTTGAACTCACTAGTAGCTGAGGGTAGCCTTGAATTTGGGGTGATCCTCCTGCTTCAGCCTCTTGAGTGCTGGGATTACAGGTGACCAGCTATTAAATCTCTTTTAAAAATGTCAAATCTGTATTTCATACGAAAGAAATTTCTTCCCTCTTGGCCCACATCACAACACCTTTCAAGGTCCTTTTTATTTATTTCTCATTTAAGTTTTTATTTTAATTGGCAAATAATGACAATATATATATTTACGGGGGCACAACATGTTTTTGATATATGTATACATTGTAGAATGATTATATAAGCTAATGACTATTTCTATTACCATATACACCTTTTTTTGAGTAGAGAACATTTAAAATTTGTGCTTTTCCACTTACTTGTTCCCTAGCTTTACTGAAGTATAACTGAAAAATTATATATATTTAAGGTGTACAACAACAACAAAACAACAGCAACATGACGATGACGATGACAATGATGATGATGATGGTGCTAAGGATGCATTGCTAGGGATGGAACCCGGGGCCTTGCCCATATTACACAGGTGCTCTACTACTGAGCTACATTCCCTAGCTCCATGGGAGAGTGTAAAGGAGTTATACATTCGATAACCAACCACACAGGAGCTGGGTGTGTTGGTACATGCCTATAATCCCTGCACTCTGGGAGGCTGAAGCAGGAGGATTACAATTCATGTGCAGCCTGGGCAATGTAGTGACTTAGGAAGTCTCAAAATAAAATGGGGGATGTGTAACTCAGTATGAGGGCCCTAGGTTCAATCCTCAGTAACTCAAAACCAAACCAAACCAAACCAAACCAAACCACAAAAAAAGCTACATAAGGTTTGGCAAGGTTGGGCTCACTGTTACTTTGAGGCCCAACTTCATCAAAACAGAAGTCATTCTGGACAGGTCTACACTCAATGAATTCCTCCTTGCTCCCGTCAAGACACTCGATAGATCCCTTAAATAACCACATTCCCTGGAGCCCCTTTCACCTCTCCTCTCACTAAGCCAGCTTTTATTTTTCCTTGTCTTCCCTTTTTATGCAAATATGCTTGTGATATATAATAAATGCATTCATTGTGGAGAACTGGTTCATGTATGCATTGTATCGGGGTCGTTTTATTTCCCCTTGCCCTCCCGCCCTCTGGTCTCCCTTCATCTGGAGATCCCCTTCCCACCTCTGCAAAGTCCAGCTCCCTGCTTCTTGTAGTCCATCTTTCATTTTGTTCTTTAATTTATTTATATATTGGGCTTCTCATAAAACAGGAATCATGCAATATTTAACCTTCTGTTTCTAGTTATTTCACTTGCCATAATGGTCTCAAGGTGCATCCCTTTTCCTATGAATGACTCAAACTTGTCCTTTCTTACAGCAGAGTAGTACCCCGTTGTGTACATAAACTTCATTTTATTTGTCCAATATGTGCTGATGGACCTGTAAGCTGCTTCCAAGATTTAGCTATTATGAATTGTAGTTTTGCCTTTTCTTTAAAGAGTTGGTAAATCCCAGCTTATGCATTGATGTTCTGGATTTGTAAATAAAATTTTATGAGGGCACAGCTTATGTCCATTCTTTATACTCATGGTCAGTGGCTACACTGAACCGTTATGCCAGAGAATGAGCAGCAGACAAAGCTGAAAATGTTTACTATCTGGCTCTTTAAGAAAAAGCTTGCTGAATATAGAACTTACACAAATGGAATTTTACTTATAGAACTTTATAGAAATGGAATCGTACAGTAAACATTCTTTTTTGGGGGGAGGGATACTGAGCATTGAACTTAGGGGCTTTCTACCACTGAGCTATGAGCCTGGACTTTTTTACTTTGAGACAGTCTCCCTAAGTTGTGCAGGCTGGCTTCCAACTTGCAATCCTCCTGCCTCAGCCTAGAGCAGCTGGGATTGCACGCCTGGTACAGTGAATGCTCAGTGTGTCCAGCTTCTTTCTATGAATACATTATCTTTGGGATTCATCCATTTGGTTACCAAAATGGCTTTACCAAATCTTTCATTCATTAATTCAAAGATTCATCAAGACTCTATTGTGTGCTGGGCAGTGTGGCTGCCGAGGGAGATTCAGTGCTCGGGAAATGGGGATGGGGTGGTATGTTCCTGGCTGAAGAAGGGAAGTCAGCAGGTGCAGACAAGATTGGCTAGCAAGTGGGTCAGAGAAATGGGGATTCACCAAAGTGAGGCATAGGATCAAGAGAGGTGGGCTCTTTGAAATTGTAAAACAGACATAACAGGGCCGGGGATTTACAGATGCAACATAAAACTTGCCATTGTCACTCTTTCAAGTATGCAGATCAGCAACATTAAATGTGTTCCAATGCTGGGTGGCCATCGCCACTGTCTATTTCCAGAACTTTTATATCATCCCAAACATCTTCACCCATTAAAGGATAACTCTCCAGTTTTGTTTGCCATGCTGGGGATTGAACTCAGCAAAAAGTGCATGGTCAGTACAGACACATTTCCCCTCCCCCCATATTTTACACCTGATGTTGATAGAATCAGCATGTGGCACCCATGGGTAGAGAGGGCTGCTGGTATAGGAGGGACAGAGGAAAAACGAAAGAAGTTCCTTTTGGTTGTTTCCATGCACTGGGTCAGTACAGGTTGAGGAAGGAATGAGAAGTTGGAGAGGTTTGAAGAAAGAGAAGTGCTACAGTTTGGACCTGGACTGTCCCTGAAAAGCTCATGTTAAAGGCTTGGTCCCCAGCCTAAGGCACTGCTGGGAGGTGGTAGAACCTTTAGGAGGTGTGGCCTTGTGGGAGGAAGTGTGGCCTTGGACGGGATAGTAGGATCCCAGGCTCTTCCCCTCTCTCTCTTTGCTTCCTGGTCACCATGAAGTGAGCCAAATACTTCTCACTGTGATGTTCCGACCTCACCACAGGCCCAAAGCAATAAACCCAGTTGACCATGGACTGAAACCTCTACAATCATGAGCCAAAATAAACCTTTCCTTCTAGGTTATCTCAAGTATTTTGTCACAGCAATTGAAAGCTGACTAACACAGGAAGTAACTTGCACAGCAGGGAAACAAGCCTAGAGACATACAGAGACCCACAGGAAAGTTTTGAGTGCCTCTTTGTGACTTGAGTTCATGATTTTGAGTTGAAACAAGTAAGCTTGACAGTGAACATTTTTCCCCGTTGACATCCAGCCTAGCTACCAGTGGATTTCTGTTTCTGTCTGTTATTGGTCTTTCCCCATCTTCCTATTTTCCTTTCTCTCTTTGAAGCCTTTCATCCAGTGCCAACCCTCATGATCTTTCTCCTTGTCCATTTCAGACTGGGTGAAAGGATTTTTCAGGAATCTCCAGATTTCAAGGAATGTGATGATGGTTAGGGAATGTGCCTGATTGAAGTTCAGCACCATGGACGGCGTTCATCTTTACACCTTCACTCTACCTAAATGTCTGCTTGTCCCCTCTTTGAAAACCTCTTGAATGTGACCTCTGCCAGGGCAAGATCAGATCTGATCTGTTCTCCACTTTGTCACCAATGCCAAGCATAGTGCCTGGGACAGCAGGGCACTGGATTAATATTTGTCACACGGATGAGCCAAATGTACACACAATTAGGTTACCAGCCAGTCCTAACTGGTTCCCAAGGGTGCAGTGAGAGAAGACAGAGCTCAGGTAGAGGGTGAAAAACTCAAGGCCCTCAAAACACTTGGGGTGAAATCACAGCCTTACCATTGGCTGGCTCCAGGCCTCAGGTGAGATCATCTCTTTCTGAGCCTCAGTTTTCCCAACTCTAAAGAGAGGATTAAAGTTTCTATTTCACGGGAGAGTTTTAAGGAGTTCAATGATTACACAAGGTGGTGCACATTGTTATCCTGAGGTGACAACTCCATTTCTTCATACCTCAGTTTCTCTACTTTGAAAAATGGGAATGTGATGAACTGTCAGGTCAGTTTGGGTTGAGGGACTTGCTGTTATAGTACTTACCTTGAGCAGGGTCTCTGATTTTTCCATGTCTTTCTCCATTTTCCTCTTCATGGATCTCAATTCCTCCTTCTCCCATGTAAGCATACTGTCAGCCTTGTCAGGGACCTAGAAAACAAGGAGAGAACAGCATTCAAGGAGAGCAGCCTGAAGGGAGATTTCCTTCTAGGGTAGAAGAGGGCTTGCCAACTTCATAAACTATGGACTTGGAGGTTGAAGTTGTGTGTGTGTGTGGGGGGGGGACTTTACACTTTGGGAATCTCACTGCCTGATAAGATTTGATCCCTTTAGGGGCTCTCACTTGGGGGGATCTTACTTTCCAGAGTTTGAGGCTGGGGACTTCTCCCCTTTAATGATGGGAGACCAGTGGGCTGGGATCGAGGTGACTAAACTTGGGGGAGGGTTGTTCTCATTTCTTAACATGGGTACCCCTCCTCAGTGATGGGCTTATCCCTCTCCCTGGCTACACATGGAGAGGTCTCCTTATACGGATGAGGAGGACTTGCCCTTTGGGGTCTTATTTTTTGGATACAGAGGCTGGAGGCAGGAATCTCACCTTGAAAGCAAGGTCTCGTTTCTCTAAAGGGACACTTAGAAGTTTCTTATCTTTTAGGGTGGGGTCTGTCTGACATTTTACTTCACGGGGAGAGTTTTTGCCAGGGTCTGTCTGACATTTTACTTCAGGGGAAGAGTTTTTGTGAGGGCGGGACTAAGGGTCTCACCTTTTCTCCATGGCTGGAGGCTTAACCCTTGGGGGCGGGGGCAGGAGTCTGAAGTCTCACTCTGGACCCAGGACCTTTCTTCTCCCTAGATGGAGTCTGGAGAGGAGCTCTCACTTCCCGAGGCTGGGGTGTGGGTTTTATTTCATATTTTCAGGGGAGTTTCATCCACTCTCCACAGCTAGAGGATGAGGGTGTTTCCTCCCTGGAATTGAGGCATTGAGGGTCTCACGCTAAGGAAAGTTCTCATCCTCTGGGCCTGGGAGCTGAGTGGGTGATTTTATGCTGGGGCTTGGCAGTGATTATGGACTTTACTCTTTGGAAAAATCTTCTTTTTAATTTTTCTTTTAACTGTAAAAAATTTTATTTGTACATGTTTGCAGTATGTAACGATCACATTCATTATGAGGAGTTAGAACATGTGTGTAACACAGCTAATTCTTTTTCCTATCCCTTTCTTCACCCTCCCCCATTTGCGACAGGTGTATATCCCTGTTTCCTATTACCTCTCTTTTATTTGCTCTTTAAATTACTTTGGGTTTCTCATATAAGAAAAACATGCAATAGTTAAACTTCTGTGATTTGTTTCACTTAACATTATGGTCTCAAGGTGCATCCATTTTTCCTACAAATGACTCAAATTATCCTTGATTATGGCTAAGTACTACTGCATTGTGTATAAATATATTCTCTTTGGGCAGATTTTCTTTGAGTCGGGGGTTCCACTCTCTCTCCTTGGCTGGGAGATTGGAATAATTTCTCTCTCTTGTAGGAAGGGAACTGTAAATCCCATCTCTTTGGGGGTGGTGTGTCTCACTCTTTAGGACTTAGGGGCGTAGACATCCCATCCTGGGATACGTGTGTCCTTATCTTGTACCTCTGCTGACTGGAGTTGGGGTAGGGGAGGTGTTCTCTCTATGGGGAAAGTTTTTCTCAGGCTGAACTGAGCCGAAGCCTTCCGTTTTTTTCGGACAGGATCTTGCTATGCAGTTCAGGCCAGGATGGCTTGGAATTTGCAGTGATCCACCTACCTCAGCCTCCTGCGATTACAAGCGTGCACCACTATGCCCGGCTGATCATGTATTATTATACTGATGGGGGGGGGCGGTGCTGGGGATCAAATCCATGGCCCTGTGCATGCTAAGCGAGCGTGCTACCACGAACCACACCCCCAGCTCCCTTGAAGCCTTCAGGTTTCGCAACTAGGTGTGGGGATGGGAAGGTCCCCCACCTTCTCGGGTTCAGGCCGGTAGCCCCGCAGCTGGACGCTCTGCCGGTTGAGGAGTACGCCCTTGCGCACATCGCTCAGTCTGTGGTCCGTCGCCTCGCGCTGGCGCTGCAGCAGCCGCAGCTGCTCATTGATCTGCTGCTGCGCGCGGCTGAGGCGGGCGGCGGTGAGGCGCGCGCCCCGCGCATGCGCCTGCGCCACCTCGGCCGTCTGCAAGGCGAGCGCGTCGCGGAACAAGGGTAGCGGCAGGCGAGTGCGCCAGGCCGGGGTCTTCATCTTACTCTTCCACAGCGTGACGCCCTCTCCCGGCGGCGGCTTCTCCACGGTTGTGCCGCCTTGAAGCATCTCCACGCGGAAGCGCCAAGGCTGGATGTAGGCAGCGCGGGAGAGGTGGCGCGCCACGTGCGGGTCTCGCACGCTGTCCGCGGACTGCCACATGGTCACCGCCTCCTGCCCGCAGCGGTCGGTCGCCAGGTGGGCCTGGTGCGTCACGGCCTGCGCCGCCTCGCACCACGCCGGGGCCCCCACGCGGGTGTCCTGGCAGCGCTCAGCTGGGGGCAGCAACACGGGCATGGTCCCTGCTTGGTGCTGGGCCTGGCTCAGGTTCCCCAGGCAGAGGAACCAGTGCGCTTCCAACCACGCACGACTCTGTCCTGGCCTGTGGAATGAGGAACGAGCGTCACCTTGGCGACGGGAACAACGAAACAGATGGAGTTCTGTCGTGGGGGAGGGGACAGACAGGGAGCGGGTGGGATGCAGTCTGTGCTTTGGAGACCTGCAGAGCTTTCTTTGGAATTCCTGCTCCTGGAGAAATCTGATCTTACCTATCACTCCTCTGGCTGTTGCCTTTTTTTTTTTTTTTTTTTTTTAAAGAAGTAAAGCAAATCCAATTTGCAGACGACATGATCTTGCATATAGAAAATCCTAGGAAATCCAGTAAAAACTGTTGGTACTAGTAAGTTTTTAGAACGTTGAAAAATATAAAATTGGTATGCCGATATCAATTATATTTTAAACTATACCCAAAAACAAAATTAAAGAAATGACCATTTATAATAGCGTCAAGGACAGGGTACTTTAGAATAAACATTTTCCAGCAAAATGGCCCTTACTCCAGCTCTGAACATATCCTGAGCTCTTTCCCAATTCAAAACTTAGAACTTGTTCTGTGTGGAATGCTCCCTTCCTTGACTGGCTCCTTTTCAATTTCAGGCCCTGTTTACATATTTTACAGCGTTTTCCCCTAACATGATGACTGAGCCCTATTCTCTCCCATCACTCAGGATTTTTAGTGCAAGTCACAGAGACAGAAAAGATGGCCCCAAGGTCAGATTACAGCCCCCAAAATAGAGAACAAATAAAACATTGATCCAGCTATACCTGTTCTGGGTATCTACCCAAAAGAGTTAGTCATAGTGATACATGCATACCCAGGTTTATAACAGTACAATAGATAAATCTTGAAAATGGTCTATATGCCCACCAACAGATGAGTGGATACAGAAAATGAGGTATATATACATAAAGGAGTACTAGTCAGCCATAAGGAAGGATAAATTTGAGTCATTAGTAGGGAAATGGGTGTACCTTAAGACCATAATGCTAAGCAAAATAAATCAGACACAGAAGGTTAAATATTGCATAGCTTCTCTCACATGAGAAGCCCAAAGTATAAATAATTTAAAGAGCAAAATAAAAGGTAGGGAGGCAGACATTTTACAGATGGGAGGGGAATCTAGGAATGGAGGAAGAGGGGAGAAAAGGGAAAGACAGGAAGAGAAGAGGAAGTAAAAGGTCTAGGATGTGGTAATGTTAATGTACCAACTCTCCAGGCTTAATGTATTCATTATGTTTCACAAACATAAAGAAAAGAAAAAGAACAAACAAAGCAAAACATGTGGTGTGCCATGGGGATGCTGTGGCTATCATTCCTGACAACTAATCTGTGTCTGCTTTCCCTGGGGAATGTTGCTACTCCTGTAGCTGTCCCCTGTGGTTCTGCTTATTGCTTGTTTAGATCCCAAGGTCTGAAGTGGCTTCACTTGATTGGCCGAGTCTGTGTCACGTGGCAATGCCTAGCTGCAAGGGAAGCTGGGGGGGGGAGAGGAGAGAGAGAGACAGAGAGAGACAGTGACAGTCATGGCTGAACTTCCTGTTAATATCATGGAAGGAAGACTATATGTCTCAGCACTTCCTCTCTTGTAGGAAGCACATTAGAGTCCGGGGAAAATGAGATGATAACTACTCACTCCCTCCATCTTCTATATTTCTCCATCAGATCACTTTCTTTGTTTCCTTCTAGCAGAGGCCTCTCAAACTTAGGTAGCAAAGCAAACTTTTGATGAATCGCCTCAATTTCTTCCCACTCCTAGTGTTCCTTGATTTGATGTTGATCCACCATCTACCCTAGCTGCTCATGTTAAAAACTTCTCCTGCCCTACCTTTAAAATTCATCCCCAATCAGATCATTAGAATCATAATATGTCACTGACCTGGTCTCCTGGCTTACTTTCTTTTGCTTGGCTTCCTTAAATCCATTCTCCATTACACAGCCAGTGGTGATGTTTAAATCTAGAGTACATTACTGTCTTACTTAAACCCTTCAGTAAACCTCATTAGACTTAGAATAAAGCCTAAAAACTTTTCTCACAAAGTTCTGCATAATCTGTCTTTTTTCTACTTCCCCGAACTAATTTGCCTTCTATCTCCCATCCCCAGCTCTACTTACTGTCTCCAGTCTTCCTGGCTATTTTTGTGTTCCTTTCAGGGGTTAGCTAATTCCTGCCCTAGGACCTTTGTACTTACTGTTAATCTTTTGATTGGATTTTTTTTTTTTTACCTTGAGATTTTTTTCTGGCTCACTGGCATCTGCTGTGGTCTACTATTCTTTGGTGTCCACCACGGGTTAGATGTGACTTGTCCTTCAAGAGTTCATGTGCTGGAAGCCTGGTCCTCAGTGTGGCAGTGTTGGGAGGTGTAGAAACTTTAAGAGATGTATTCTAGTGAAGGTAGTTAGATCACTGAGGGGATTTCTCTTGGAAGGGATGAATGTAGGTATCATGGGATCCTGGTTAGTTCTGTAGTTGTTATCTAACAGCAAGAATGACCTCTGAATCCTTCTTTGGCTTCCTGTTCACCATGTGTGCTCTTTTCCATATAGCCATTCCCCTTCCTGTTTATCTGCCAGCTTGGGATGCAGCCTTACCAGAGGTTGAACAGATGGGGCCTCCGATTGATCTTGGACTTTCAGCCTCTAAAGCTGTGGGTGAAAACCTTTCTTCTTTAAAAATACCCACGTATTTTGTTATAGCAACAGAAAATTAACTAATATGGTTTCCTTCCAGAAGGTCTTTCCTCTTGGATAGATCTTCCTGACTAGTCAAAAGTGACTGTCTTAGTCTTACATTTCCTCAAGTGACTTCACAGCATTCACCACTATCTGAAATTCTCTCATCCATTTATTTGTTGTTGTTGTTGTTTGGTACCGGGGATCAAACTCAGGTCCTTGTGCTTGTGCAGCAGGCGGTGAAACCACTGAGCTAAATCCCCAGCCACTTATTTACTGTAAAATTTTCAGTCTCTCCTCACCTGCTTTGGAGCGCTGAGAGCAGGAACCTTGCTAGTTTTGAATTCAGTGCCTAGAGCAGCTCATGGCACTTATTAGGTCTTCAGTATCCATGGGCTGAAAGAATAGATGGCATCAATCTCATGCTGTCACTATTTTATTTGGGTCTTTTTGAGATGCAATTCTTATTAAGAAAATGAATGATTTAGAAGTGTACAATACTGAGGCACTTACATGTACATAGGTACATTCCTAATGTTGCCCAACCACTAATTCTAATTCTGGGACATTTTCATCTATTTCAGATTAAACTCCACCCTCATTAGCAGTCATTTCTGTTACTCCCTTTCCTCACCTCCTGGTAACCACTAACCTGCTTTCTGTCTCTGTAGATTTGCCTATGGTGGGTGTGTCATATAAATGGAGTCACATAATGTTGTGACCTTTAGCATCTGGCTTCTTTCATTTGTCATCGTGTTTTCAAGATTTATCCACGCACTAGCACAGATCAGTATATCATTCCTGTTTATAGTTGGATAATATTCCATTGCATTTATAGCCTTCGCTCTGTTTATCCATCCAGCTGTTCATAAATATTTGTTTTTCACTTGCTTTCTTTGTCTTCCCCATCAGATTGTGAGCTTCATGAGAACAGCAAATTTACCTCTCTTTTATACCACTGTGTCCCACCATTTAGCACCTACCACAGACAGTGGCTCATAGGAAGTATTCAATAAGTATTTATTAAATGAGTGGTGAAATGAATAAACGATTTCTTGTTGAAAAAATGAGAAGTGCAAAGATGAGGAAGGAATGAATGACTAAGGCTTTGCAGAACCAAGGGTTTTTTCAGGAATGGGGAGGAATAAGATGGGAAATTAAAGGATCCCTGCCAGTCCATGTTGGTGAGCCACTGTATGCTCTTTAGAATCACCTTTGGTGATGGAGGCTTATTTCAGAAATTTGTGGGAATCGGATTTAGTATTGTTATTATCTGCTGGGACCAGTGGTGTCCACCTTGCCAAACTACAAGAGTCAGGATAGTGTCATAGTCACTGTTCCAGATGATTAGGGGTTCATGTTGTAATTCTGACACTGTCTGCATGACCTTGGGCAAATCACCTAACTTCTCTGCACTTGCATCTCCTCTTCTGTCTACTGGGATAATAGGATTATTTCATGGATGAAATGAGTTCATATGAGTGACGCACTTAGAGTCATGGCTGACACATATCAAGCATTGGGCAAGGGTGGACCTTTCATTTTTATTAGTTGAATGAACATATGAATGGACTATCCCAAACCAAGAGGTGCAGAAAGGTGAGAGAGAGAAAGAGAGAGAGAAAGAAGGGGAGGAGGGGGGGAGAGAGAAGAAAAGAGAGAGAGGGAGAAAGAGAGGGAGAGGGAGAGGGAGAAATCTCACACGGACAGCACTTGTGCCAAACTACCTAAGAAACATGTGAATAAGATTTCTTTTTTTGTTGTTTGTTTTTTTGAGACAGAGTCTCACTATTCCAGACTGGACTTGAACTCACTATGTAGCCCAGACTGACCTCAAACACACAGTCATCCTCCTGCCTCAGCCTCCTGAGTGCTGGGATTCCATGTGTGTACCACCACATCTGGCTGAATAAGATTTCTTTCCCCAGGCCTACATGTGAGAATTTTGGCTCCCACATGGCCCACTTCTGAAATTCATTAGGGTTACAAGTGTACATTCTGTCCCACTCTGAATTTTTATGGGTTCAACATATTCACACCATCACATTCTTAGCACCTAACATCATTATCCAAGCATTGACATTGGTGCAGACCATTGCTTAATTGGACTTGGCCAACTTTTCATTTCATCCCCCTACCTCAGTTTTGACTTTCTATGTATATGTGCTGCCAAAGCAAGCACTTGGTTTTGACTTTCTATGTAAACCCCTAAATCTCACTTGCCACTCCTGGCTTTGATGGTCCATTTTAGACACTTTTCTAGCCTGACACACATGCCCTACATTTAAGGAATAAGTAAACCATCTTATGCTATGCTTTTAAAGCCTACTGGTCACTCATGGATTGGTAAGTACCTGGAAGAAACCATTGATTGCAGGGCTGGGATTGACTCAGTCTC